TCCACGTTAATCATTACGTCACAAGATCCTAAGTCACAAATACACTTTACACTCCGAAAATGAGAACTAATAAACCGAATGTACTCCGTAGTCCGTATTATCCATTATTGGATAACAAAAATGAGTTTCGTTGATTTGTGCCCGACCGCAGCGCCATCTAGATTTTCCTTCAACAGCGAAATCGCTCTATTACTATTGGATTGAAATTCTGCTGAGTTGCGCGTACTGTAAGTAAGAACCTGTATGGAATATTGTGGCTTAACACAGCACATTGATTTTTTAATTAAACGGATTAAGTAGTTATAAATTATCTAATTAGAATTTAAGCTAGAAGGCATTGTTACCACGTTAAGACAGCGCCATCTTTTCGCCGCTCCTGGAACTTCAGCAAAATGTATCACTGAAGAGATACCTATAACAAATAGGTGCACTATCATTTTATCTGCGTGCCAATAACACTAAGATATTTGCCATAGTGTCAAAAAATAAAAAAAAATTAAAACTTGTGACTTATTTAAACGTTTTTACAATGTCATTTATAAAAAACAACTTTTCAAGAGTACTATTTAACTCATTAATAGAAATTGTATGTGTTATGTTAGGTAATATAAATAAACATTAACGTTAAAGACGAAACATGGTTTTAGAAATCAAGTTTACATAGTATGGTTAAAAAACGCTTATAATTTTGAAACAACGAACAAGAAAGAAAATAATTCAATGGATCACTTTAGCGCTGCGAGTTGCGGGTTCGGTGCCATTTGAGACGATTATGATGCTAACGCCCGGTTTCTGAAACACAGATCTACTTAGAAATTAACTTTCTGATCATCAATAAGATCATTCTGATCAATCCAGAGAGTTTAACCATCTATTTGGCAACGCGAATAACATTTAACAAACCATTTGACAGCTGTTAGTTAATTTCTAAGTAAATCAGTGTTTCAAAAACGGGGCGTAAGTGATCTATGCCTATGTTTACGTAAAACATCCATAAAATAACCTCATCCCTTAGTACACTAGCACGATCCGAACGGAAGATTTCCGCGATCATAACGATGGAAATGATTGACTGACAAGAAATTCATTACACAGTCGAGCTTATCAGACCGAGCGCGGTCGGGATTGCATATTCATACAATGCACCGCTGGCGTGGCCGTGCAGTGTGCGCGCTAAAACTGCAAGGCAGTGCGCGCTTGCAGCGCGAGAAACTTAGTGTTGTACATCTGTAAATTCCCACAGATTTTATATAGTGAAAGTGGCCTGCGATTCACGAAGGGACTGGTTGTAATTTCCTGCTCCCTTACTATTTTCGTATATCAAGTATCATGGAGAACTTTTACGGCATCATCAGGACACTCAGCAGGAAGACATTGAAGCGTAAACCGAAGGTATACGATAAATTCCTTATTAATTTCCCGTTCATGATGAAGTATTAAATTTTTTAAATCAATAAATCATTATTGATTTTGTATACTATAACTATACTACAACTATACGGATAATAACGCCGTATTTTATGGGGTATTAAGTAAATATCTCAGATTTTTGCAGGATTTTCTATTAATTACTACACTAAATGATAATTTTTCTTCGCAAAACGTAAACTAATATCTATATGCAATTATATTTAAATAGAGGCGAAAATTGAAACGTGAATTTATCGAGAATTTATTCTTTATAAAAAATGCCCATTTTTATTTCTTTTATTATAAAAAAGATTTACGTATAAAAATAGTTATCCATCATGGTAAAAATTCTAATGAAGCCATTTGAAATAACTTAAATGCATCGTCCATGCCTCCAATATCTGTAACACTCAATACGAAAAGAAGCTATACCAAAGACAATATCGTAGCATGTGTGATAGACCGGTAGATACCATAGACAATATCGCAACTTGTATTCAAATTTCACATCCTTAACGGTACGACAATGAAAAGAATCATAATCGCATACTTTACGCGTGCATATTTCTTTGTATTTGACTGTGTAATCTTTATTGTGATGTTAAAATTGTTAGCAAAAAAGCATCGAAAAAAAAAAACACATACACCTGCCTCGTATATGATATCTTCTGCAGTACACTGTATGTATATATATTTATATATAGTTTTTTTAATTTTTATCTTTCATTGAGAAAGAAAGCTCCACGTAAGAAATTTCGTTAAGAGGATCGAATGTTAACACCTTGTAAGGAACGTTTCCCGATCTTAGCATTTAAAAGCAAATCGCAGTTGTAAATTTTAACACAACTTTTAACATTCCACAACATCCGATGATCACTTAGTATTATATGATTCTATTAATGTTTTATAGAGATGACATTTTTTATTAAATAAATGTTTTGCGCCTTACCAACGTTGAATGTTTTGTCAACGATCAATGATTTAGTTACATCTTAAAAATTTACTGGGTTTTTTCTATCTTTAACTGTAAGGCAAAAATACCTCTAGACTGTAAGGTTAAAATACCAATTGGGATATGGCGTACGTCATATACATTCCATACAATCTTTGTATGGCGTCTAACGTAACTCATATGACTAGATTTAGTAGACTTAGTAGACGAAGTACCTGAACGCGTTTGTGAAATCAATCTATGCCGACTAAATTATCTAGTGGATATATGTGACTATTATGACTTCTCAAGTGACTTCTCAGTGGTCTATATTACATTTGTTTGTATTTTGTCTGTCAATCGACGAAGTTAAGATGTGTATAAACACATCTTAACTTCGTCGATGTTTATCATTTTATCAAGTGTTTTAACCTTAATGAGGTGAATAGAAACATGCATTTTCATAAAATTAAATTACTCACTAACCAGTCTATCTGCTTGCCTATTAGGCAGCCGAATCGCTACACACTTTTCGAGTAATATTTCTACAGTGCTGGTCGATCGAACGCGTTGATTGAAACCCAACATTACTAAATATATGTCCGCTTGTTGCAATTTTAATTCAAGCTCGTTACAATTAAAACTCACAACATAAGGCAATCTAATTTATCGTGTCGCCTCGCACCGTTCGCCGCGTTCACGCTTTCTGGCGACGCCATTTCTTCGGCGCTTCTTGCGATCATTGGGGAATTTAGTGACGCGCCCACTTAGCTCGATAATGGTGTTAGAAAAATATCAAGTGTTATCATTGCTAATATTATAAAGACGAAAGTTTGTATGAATAGATGTTTGTTACTCTCTCACGCAAATACTACTGAATGGATTTAAATGAAACTTTGCAATAATATAGCTTATACATCAGGATAAAATATAGGCTAATTTATATACATATTTGTATATATGTCTGTCTTTCTGTCTTAATGTTACGCCCTCAGCCTATTCTACGCAGATGTAGTCGCGGGCAGCAACTAGTATTGAATAAATGTATTTCGCATTATTTTGTATTTGCTTCTAAACGCTTTTTAGCTAAATTTTATACGTATGCCCCATCGAGCGAGCTGATGTTTCACCTGTTGTAAGTGATAACCGACGTGTAGTGTTTCAAATGTCCATTGGCGTAGCCACGATGACGTATCCATCTTTTACCAGTCAGCAGACGAAACACTTCAACTTCACGCCGGTCTTTTGTGACTTCCACAGAGGTCTAATCGTGCAACGGCAGATACTGCTGCGTGGTTTTGCCAAATATCTTATTACAGAACGAATATAGTTAGTGTTTTACATCTTCCATTGCTTGTGCAATTTGTTTTCACAGTCGCATTCACAGATGCCCATCTTGACTATAATCAAACTCATTTGCTCTTCTTCCAATCATTCACTCAATTTTTAAATGAGATCTTCTATCTGATTTCGGTTATAATTTGAAATGCGGTCGGAAATTCGGTCTGAATTAAATTAAATTCAAAATGTTATTTCATTTTCACTGAGATTAGATTAGGGAAATTTATTGATAATAATCCTCAAGTCGTTCGTTAATTTTAACATTTATTTATTAATAATATATACGGATGGTGAGTCAAAATAAATAAAAACTCCTATTGTACAAAAGGTTAATTATCCTACTATGCGAAGGTGTGAGCTGCTATAATAAATATTATTACGAGTATATCTCATCACTAAAATTCAAATCGAAAGCAATAAAATTATGCATCATTAGTATTCCTTCTATGAATATAATTTATGTGAATTGCTCTTATATAATTTTTTTTCTCGTAAACCAACAGAACGATAAGAAATAAAGTAATAAATGGTGCATTTCCCCTATTTAATGTTTTCTTACATCATATTTCTCGAGTTACTTATGTAGTATAGGCATAATTTAAAAAGATAAAGAAACAGTTTTTCTTCTTCATTATATAATGGATAATTTTGGATACATTAGTATGTTTAAAAAATCGGAATAATTAAAACATATGTTATCCTATAAACATATGTAGAATACTTTTAATACTTATATAGGTAATAATAAAACATTTGTTTTATTATAAATATTTTTACGACAAATAACGACAAACACAACGCCAGCTAGTGGCAGACTAAACAAAGCTTGTTCTAGACAACTGATAAACATTGTTAAACATATTTTTCTTTTCTAAATAAACACATCATAGATATAAACACCCAGACACAAGAAAAACACTACGTTCATCAAATAATATTTTACAGCAATGGGGATCGTGCCCACATCCTCTGTAGCAAGGGACAGGTTGTGTATCCTCTACGCCCATTGGACCAGCAGATAAAATTCTTTCTTTTCTCTCTTCCTCTTTTAAAAAAAAAACATTGCCATTACTTTGGGTTAACATTATCCTGTGTTGTATGGACATTTTACAAACATAAATTTAACGTGAACAAACACCCAGATGCGAAACAACTATCTGTGGGACACACAAATAGTTGTCCCGTGTGAGGATAGAACCCCTACGGCGAAGCCAATGCCGTGTCAATTGCGCCACGAAGTAGTCAAAATTCGAAAAATACTTCGAAATTTTTTATCTTGTTTAATACACAAACTAAATATAAACCGTACTTGTTCCAGATACAGCCAAAACCCGTGACAAATGGCGTTGCGACTAAGGAGCGCACATCGGAACGCGAAAGCAGAGATGTGAGGGAGCTAAGGGAGTCGAGGGAGTCCAGGGAAACACGGGACTCGAGGGAAATACGCGAGATCCGGGAGTCAAGGGACGAGACGGAGCATGTTGAAAGGAGAGCGCAAACCAACTCCCCCGTGCCACGGGACCGGGAGAGGGACAGAGATAGAGAGAGGGAAAGAGACAGGGATAGGGACAGGGACAGAGAACGAGACAGGGAGAGAGAAAGAGAAATGAGGGAGGAAAGAAGAGACCAGTCCACACCACAACACGACGGACGGCATCCGCTTCTTCAGTTCGCGGTGGACCATTTCAGACAGAGCCCAGAGTTAGTACACACATTTTTTATATATAAATAGACTGCTTTGCTGTGGTAGGGCCGCGGTACCTTCTGTTTTCTGAATAGAAAGCATCTTCTGGGGTATTGGTATTAACTACGGCCTCGCAGTGCACCGGCGTGAAGTGGGGTATAAATTCATGCGTTGGAAATCACTTGACATCAGGTAAACCGCCTGCACACTAGCCACCTCCTCACATGTCAAATTCAAATTAAAAATATCTTTATTCAAATAGACGCTTGCGCGTTCCTATGAAACGTCGGACTTTACATGTTAAAAAAAGATTAGTAATATTTATCTATCGCTTTAATATCCGCCTTAGTATTAAGTCGACGTTCAAATAGCATATAACAGATTGAAACTACTATATCTTGCTAACATTACGCAAAGTGATGATTATTTTACTATTTTTTATTTTTGAAATTTGTTACAAAATGAAAGTTTTAAGCATTTCAAAGAACAGTAAACGTGCTCGCAGTGTAATACATCCGACATTATATTTTAGTCGTATCGAGTTGTTACTTTTGTTCATTAGAAATTCCTAAATTCATTTCTAAAATGGCATCGCAAAACACTGTTAATTATTACTGTATCAGAAAGTTTTGAGGTCTGGTTGACGTTTTGATTTAACATGCAGCGCCATCTAGTAGTAGGACGTGCAAAATGTTGCGGTTTATTTTTAAATCACGGTTGGTTTTATCTATTCCTAAATCTTTTACGTTTTCTTACTCCACTACAATATTACAAACACTACACGGTGGCAAAGTTTAAATGAAAGAAATCAGCCTCCTAAATAAATTTAATTTTTATTACTTTACCAAGTTTATTAAGTTTCCTACTGGTGTGGATTTGAGTAGATATTTTATTAACTTTTTTTATTCCAATATTTAGATAGTTTTGCAATTAAATGTGACTTAGATCACATAGCTCGATAACCGAAGCACTAGTGCTAAGTGTGTTACATAGATTGTACCTTTCCGTTTCTTGTGCAAGATTTAATTCCCGTTTCATTGTAATTGACAGCGAAATCGCGGTTTTGCTTTAGTAACGTAAGTAACAATGACCTCCATACGCAATAATTATACCATTCATCATCTTAATTGCTAGATTTGGATGATGTTGTAATGTGTGTATGAGAAGAGAATATGAGTATGAGAGGTAAATTTGAACATCATTATGAAATCATACCTTCATTTCTGTCATCTGTCATCATCATTGTATTGATCTTTGACGTTTCTGTTATGAGATTAATTATTGCGTTTTAATCTTTTTTTAATCTTGTTCTGCTTCCTTATGATCATAACAAAAAAAAAACATTTCTAAAATATGTCGCTATAAGTCGCGATAAGTCCGCCATTCCGCAGGGGGCCCGCGTGGTGAAGTATGCCCTGTGACCCTCTGTACAGAGGAGGTCTTTGCCCAGCAGTGGGACATGTATCGCGATCGCCATTACAAGTTAAAAAGTTGAAAAAAAAGAACAACATACATACATAGTAAGACAAAAGCACAACTGATTTTAAAGGCAATAATATTGCCTATAAAATCAGTTATCAAATTTTTCATTTAAGGATATCAGGTCATATAAATTCTAAAAAGTTGTAGAAAAATGGTTAAAAAGTTTTTTGTTTTTACGACACTAGCCACTGAGTTAAACGGCTTATCTTCACACCAACGAATCTTTTTAAAACCTTATTGTTTTTATTACATTTTAAAGCAATGTTTGATGTCATCATTGGCGACCTGCCTCCTGCGCCTGAGCGTGTGGGTTCGATCCCCACTACTGAAAAAATATTGTGTGATAAACATAGTGCTTTTCTGGTGTCTGCGTATTTATAGACTCGTATGTATACTATGTCGCACCTTTAGAATTAAAGGGACCTAATTATGAAAATCATGACTTTGACTTTATGTCAGGAAACGACCTGAGACGACCACCTATTTCGAATCCTATTAAACCATGGGCCAATTTTAGAAAGCTACATAACGTATACTTCTGTCTCTTTCACTTCCCCCCCAATTAGCGCGTTTGTTCATAAGTTCCACTAATCCTTATTTTACATTTCCCAAAAATTGATATTTTTAAATAGGTCACTATAATTCTAAGGTGCGATGTATTTATTTACAAAAGAAAAGTACGTTTATCAATTATCTAGTACCGATAGTACAATCGTTGCTTAGTTTGGTACTAGAGAACGTTTTGTAAAAAGGTTTCCTAAAATATTTATTATTATTATTTATTTATCTAATTTAAAATATTTCATCTTGAGTGTAGGCTTTAAAAAGGTCATATGAAATTTGAATTTACTGCGTTATCGGTTCTCGTGAAACTAATCGAGTTCCCTGAAGTGGCTTAGCGGAAATTTAGTTAAGGATTCCATAACAAAACAAAATCCCCAAAACTAACAGTTATAGCGTGTTGAAATCACGTTAATTTAAAACGATTTAATAAGGAATTGTTTGCTTCAGCACTTTTTTTATTTTAAGTCCATCGCAAATAAACGAAGTTTTCCGAGGGCGAGTAGTGCCGCCCATGGGAACTCACATTATCAAATATGCACAGCCATCGGACGAAACGCAAAACTACAAACATTTATTCATAATTATCATTACTTATTAATAATTACTAATCACATCGTAATTCCGTAAAAAAGTAATACGATTCCGTAACGAAAACATCGATTACTACGATTCAATTTATACACGTAAAGTTCATTTTACCGTGACAAAAACCCTCTAAAACTTCAAAACTTCTTTTGCGTTTCTTACCAGAATAACATCACTGACTTAGTACGTTTCAAATAAGATTTCGAATTTAACGATTACATAAAAATATATCTCACAAAATATCAAATGCATCTAAGGTGAAACACAGACAAATTCGGAGGAAGATTCCTTATCCACAGTTTTTACGTAATTTTTGATGATTCCGTAGCGCAGTTGCCAAGGTATTGGTCCCAGCGTCGGGTGTCGTGGGTTCGATTCCCACACGGGACAACTATTTGTGTGACCCACAGATAGTTGATTCGCTGAGTGTTAGTCCATGTGAAATGTTTGTAAAACGTCCTTACAACACAGGATAATGAGATCCTAAAGTAAGGGTAATGTTTTTAAAAAAAATCTATTCAAAAAACTACAATGGAGAATTTGCGTAGCTATAAGATATATCGAGTATCGTATGATTAAAATGTCACTATATCGTATGGAACTGCATCGATACTTCTCTCGAATCGTATCGAGCATCCGTGGGTGAGAATAGACCCTTAATCAAGTCGCATTGGCCAATATTCCACTACCGAAAGAGGCAGCCCGTGGAGCTCAGGCCATTTTTATATAATCCATTGTTAAAACATGTAGAAAAATGTAATCCATTGTTTGGCATTTGCGCATAATTGTAACGTGCCCGCAGACATTGGGGGCACCGGTGCGTAATCAGAGCCAGATGATACAAAAGGCCGGCATAGTTTCTCATGATGTTTTGACAGCGCGATGCTTCCGCTACCATAGGAAATTTAAAACTCACAAGTATGTAAGTTACTGTAACTCAAAATTAATAGCACATAATACACTCATCTTTTGCGGGTCAGTATCATATAAAAATAAGCTTTACTCGGTTATTGAACAAGCATTTAAATTCGTTGATTTGCGATATGTGTGCAAATTATAGTTCAGCTTCACAAAGAAAAATAGTAGTAAAAACTAATTGAAGCCTCATTGTGATTATATTTGATTGCATTTCTACACCTCATGTTAAGAAAATAATTTTTTGAACTATGATACCTTCGTAACGCTGATGTTTAGGTGATTTTTTTTGCGCTGTTGTAGACCCATAGTCCGAGACAACGGGCCTGATGAGCACAAATACTACACGACACTTCTTGAGGACATGTTAATTTAACCTCTTCAACAAAGACACTACTTGCAGAATATATTTGCTTCATCTTTGAAAAAAAACAGAGTGTTAGCAGTCCCGTCAAGAGAAGCAGTCAAAGTAACAAACCAAACAAACCTCGATTGCACGTTCGCAATTTTATAAACACATCCTGTATTTGCAATATCGCTGTGGTTAGTCTTTACCTGATTTCATTATGTACAATTATTAAACTGCTGAGTATCACATGAGTTGAGGCAGTGACGCCTTTTTAAGTAACTACCGGTCATTATGGGAGACGTATTTAAATAAACATTAAACATTTTTAAAAGAAAGCAACCTATATGATACGTACAAATGTATGTACTAAATTGCAGTAATCAAAGTGGGTTTGATGAGTTAGTTTTTCTGTGTTAAAGACTACTACAAAATAATTTCTTAATGTCATTAGTCCTTTAGGCAAAAGTAGCCTGGATGACGGATATCCGTTTTTTTCTTGAAAGAATAAATAGTATTGAAATACTATTTAATTAACAAAGTTAATGTACTTTGTTAATTAAATTATAGCCCATGTTACTAATGGATGATGTAGCTTTGCGAAAAACGTAGTGTGGTTCAAAAAATAATGTTGTGTTCTTTTATGACACCACAATGCCAGTGAAACTTTTTTCGGATCGTAGGCATTTAACCGAAAATTTTCAGTTTCATTTGGCGTTGTATTTGGTGTTTTATTCAAGTTAGGGTTGTTCGCCAAGCGCTTGCGAACGTTAAAACTTGTTAAAGTTATTTCTGGTATTACACGGTGGTAGGGCCACGCAGCAGCCTCGGCTGTTGCACGAACGGGCAGGCCCGTCCGGATAAGCACCACGACCTCACAGAAGACCAGCGTGAAGTGGAAGTATGACAAATACTTTCGCGTTTCGTCTGGTGAGTGAGGTAGCCGGAGCCCAATTTTCAAAAGGTTGTCAACGCATCTGTAACCCACGGGTGTAGCAAATGCCCATGGGCGGCGGTATTCACTTAACATCAGGTGACCCGTCTGCTCGTTTGGCAACTTTAGGCATTAAAAAAAAAACTGCGATCGTCGGAGCTGAGAGTCGACTGTCGTGTACCCGGGGTAAT